TAAAACACTGCTTAGTATTTACTCTTTGAATTCAATATGCACTGATTCTTATTTAAGCTACAAAAGTTATTTAGGTAAGAGCAGTGAGCGATTTTCTCTTTGTCTTTTGTTCATGGCCCCAAATATTGCAAGCTGTAGCTATATGCATATTGCGATATGTACATTTGCGATATTTCGATAATTTCGATATATTGCACAGCCCTAGTAGACAGCATAATGGGTTCTATTTTAGGACCTATTTTGTTGTGCAGCGCCTCGATAAACGATAATCGTTTATCGAGGAAATTTATATCGCGCGGTAATTATCGTTGATTTATCGCCCAGCCCTATTTCAGAGTGACTCAAAGGGTTAGTCCCTGCTTCTGCTCAAACCGCAGGTGTTCTGATGCTGCTAATTTGCTAAATGGCGAGCAGCCAGTTCAGCTTAATGGGATTTATTGTTGTCAAAGTTCCAGTTTCTATACGGAAGCAGAGCCTCGCGGCTTTGTCGTGGAAAGCTGACTCCTAAATAACAGCAAAGAATAAGAGCTAGTCCAGACCGGTCGGCAGATTTCGCTCTTCTCCCCTGCCCCGTCTTATTTCCTCTCGCAGCTCTGCAGAAGAGGCTCCAGCGTTTGCGGCATTCTGACAGAGAAATAGAGTTTCCTCATAGCCCTCGAGTCCCGCGACCAATCAGCAGGAGTCTGTGAAGAAGACGTGTTTGAGTCCTGACTGCGTGAGTGAAATTGTGCTGTGCTGTTTATCTAGCGATCGTCAACCGCTCGTGTCGAAGCAAAACAGCGTTTCTGACTGACTCCAGAAAGACATCTTTCACTTCTGCCTTTTTTTCATGAATCCCGTGATTTTTACTGAATGTTTCCACGAGTTCAGTCCCAGAATCTATTTTAAAGTCACGAAAAGTACATTTTAGTGAAATGCTTCATTTTGTTTGCCTTGGGAAAGAAATATTTTACCCCCCCAAATAAAAATCTGTTATTTATATAAAGCTTATTATTGTTCCAAAAATGTTATTGTCATTTGTTATTGCTTTTAAATGTTACTTCTATTTATTTTTACTTGCTTGCATATTTTTTATTTACTTTTACTTTTTATTTATTTTTTTATATATATATACTAGTTTTATTTTTGTTTATTTGTTTTGTTTCATTATTCTATTTATTTATGTACTTAATTTTCTTTCTTTTTTACTTTTTAATTGATTCGTTATTTACCTATTTAATCATTAATTTATTTTTTTAGTTACAGATTTCTTCTATTTCGTCATTATTTACTTATTGCGTATTTTTATTTATTTATTTATTTAATCATTACTTATTTAATTATTCATTTATTTATTTTATGTACAGATTTATTTTTACTTGGTTACTGATTTTTTAAAATTTATTTAGTCATTATTTACTTTTTGCATATTATTTTGTCTTTGTTTCTGTCTATTTATGGTTTTATTGTAATTTACTTATTGTTCATTATTTATTTTTACTTATTTTTTTATCTTTAATCTTTTTTCAATAATTTTAACAGCTATAAAATAAATAGCATCTGTTGTTGTTTATGTAGTAATAATAATAATAAAATAATATTATTATTAATAATAATAAGTATTATTATTAATAATAAGTATTATTATTATTATTATTACTTTTTTATATAATAGTGATATTATTGATGATAATAGTAATGTTTTAATAATAAAGAAGTTTTATTATGACTTTGAATTAAATAGTTTATTATCGTTTATAATTTTTGCTTCCATTTATTATTATTATTACTTAATTTAAAATAACAGATTTTGTTAGTTATTTTTATTTTGTAGTTAATTATTTATAAATATAGTTATTTATACTTAAAATTTTGGGAACAAAAATAATGACTATCATTTATTTGTATATTTGTTAGTTTATTTATTTGTTAGTTTATTTATTTATTCATTCATTCATTTGTTTATTTATTCATTTATTCGTTTACTTTGTGAACACAAACACATGGTCTGTAACGTCATGAAGTCAGTAGTGACCGGATCGTAGTTTTTGGGTGAACTGTTCAGCAGTCCTGATTGGTTACAGTATCAGTTTAGTTTAGCCTTGCGCTTTGGAAGCAGGTCAAAGGTCGAGCGAGGGGAATCTTAATTAGGTTAGCGCCCTTCCCCCGGTCCGTTTTTCCACTGCTGTCTGGCACAAAGCCTCCTCTTTAGCATGCAGAGCCACTTTCCCCGCGGCAGGGCTTTTGTGGGCCGAGTCCGGCGAACACTGCGGTGCATTGAGGGCCAGGGCCAGAGGCTGGCACACCAGGTCCAGCGCAGACGGGCCGCCCCACACTGGAGGTGTGAACCCATGGAGGAGGAGATGGTTTTGTGGTTTTGCGTGCGATAACATCAAACTGCTCTTCACAAGTCGCAGCGTACAAGCGTCGTCCCACACGTTCAGGCTGATTCACACGAATACAGAGCAGTGTTTATTTGCATCTGAAACCGCATGAATGTGATTTAATCTGATTTATGATGGAAGGTTTCCGTTCGTCTCTTTAGTCGCCTTTATAAAGTATTTAAATATATGCATTTTTGGTTTTTGTGGGTTTTGTTTGAAAGTTTATTTATCCATTAATTAAAAACATTACAATGAATACAATTAAATAAATTAAATAAAAATAATAATAAAAATAATTTAAAATGACATAATGTCTAAATAATTAGTAATATAATTATTATTTGCATTTTGAATTTATCATATTTCATTTTATTAATTATATAAAATTAAGAGTTGTTGTTATTATCGTCGTCAAACAATAATAATCATAATGTTTTAATACATTTTTTTTAATTACATAGTTTATTATTGTTATTATCTGTTACTGTTGTTTTTATTATATTTGTATTTTATTTATTCTATTTTTTATGATTAATAATTAGTAGTAAGATATTTATTTATATAGATATTTACAGAAAGAATAATAAAACATATTTATCAGGTTTTCAATTAAATACTGTTCTTAATTTTATTTATTTATTTTATTTGTTTTTGTTGCTAATAATTAGTTATAAGGATAATTATTATTTACAGAATAATGATGATTAATTAATAATAATGTAAAATGTACATTTTGAATTAAATAGTTTATTATTGTTTAGCTATGATTATATTTTTGTTTCTATATTATTGTTTAGCTATTTTTGCTTCCATTTATTATTACTAATAATTGATTGTAATAATTACTATGATGATTAAGAAGATTATTAAAATAATAATTGTTGTTGTTGTTACGTGACTTGTTAATAACAATAATGTTAATAGATAATAGTTAAGTGATGATTCATATAATAATAATACAATAACTATTATTATTATTATGCATTGTTAATAATTGATGGTATTAATGAATTATTATGATGCTTATGAAGAAAATTATTAAAATAATTATTATTATTATGCCACGTTAATTACAATAATATTAATAATTGATGATGATAATCAAATGAAGATTATAATAATAATAATAATACAATAACAATTTATTATTATTATTATTATTATTATGCATCATGGTAATATTATAATTATATTATTAATAATGTTTTAATTATTAATAATCAAATTTTTATTATGTTTTGGATTAAGTGCACACTTTTAAACCAATAAATAAGTTTTTCTTTTTACAAAATGTAAAAACGTGCATATCTTGCTTAAAAAAACAAAACAACTTGTCTTTTTACAAAATCTCATTTTACAAAGTCATACATCCTGGTTTTTTTCTTCTCTCTCTCGCAGGCGTTTGGCAACGCAAAGACGGCCCACAACAACAACTCCAGCCGATTCGGGAAGTTCATCCAGGTCAATTACCTGGAGAGCGGCGTGGTGCGCGGGTGAGTGTCTTTATCAGCTGCTGTTTGTCTCTCTCACACACACACACACACACACGCACACACACACACACACCCTGCCGTCTGACGTCACTTCCTCCTTCACAGCGAGAGGAGCTGACACACTTCCTCCTCAGAAGAGCTGCTGCCTCTTATCTGAGATCAGTTTCTGTGGTTTATTGTTCGTTCTGGGCGAATTTCACGTCATCTGAACCGCCATCTGTCGACTTTTCTGTTTTTATCTGTTTGGAGTCGCCCTTTTTGGCTTCTTTCCATTCACTTGAGAGGCTTAATGTTTACCTGAGGTTTGAGCGAACCGATTCCGAGGCCAGTTTGGCCCTTAAAAAATTAAACTGAACAAAAAGGTTTGCGCAGTAAAAAGAAAAGGTCTGTGAATTTCATTTAAACATTTTCAGATAATTAAGTAATAAATCATTGAATGATTGAATAGCAATTAAATAAATAAATAAATTTGATGTTTACAAGTAAATAGGTAAATTTAATAACTAGTTAAATAAATTATATATATATATATATACACACACATTTGATAAATAAATAAATATATGAATTAAATGTTATAAATAAATACATTTAATAAATAAATCACAATAAATATATTTATTAAACAAGTAAGTGTAAACATTAATAATACATTTAATATATACATTTAAATAAATCACAAATCAGCATAAATAGTACTATGATGAATTAAAACATTTAATAACTAAAGAAAAGTAATATCTAAATAAATCAATTTAATTCATAAATAGAATGAATAAGTAATTTTAATAATGTGATGAATGAATAAATCTAAAGATTAATGGATACATTTAATATATAAAAAGATGAATAAGATAATATAATATCTAAATGAATAAATTAAGAAAAAAAAAAACTCTTGATTTAAATCGGCATAAAAAATTACTTCCGTAAAGTATGAATGCTTATATTATTTCAATACATTATTAAAATCAAATATATATTGTTGCGTAATAAATGACAATGCCAGTTCATAAATGTTATATATAAATAAATGTAATATAATATGTAAATGTAATGTCTGAATAAATACATTTAATAAATGCATAAAAAAAACAAAAAAAAAACATGAATCTAAAAAAAAAAAAGACATCAATTTTATATGAAAATAAAATAAAATAAATAGATAACTGTAATATGAAAAAAATGCATTATAATGAGTATTTTATTTGTGTAAATGATACGCTTCATTTTCTTTCAAGAAAAACAAAATTCCTTAACATTTTTTTTGTACTGTAATGTACGGACATTTCTTGAGCAAACATTGGTGTGTCATTTACCCACAATGCTTTGTGCCGGCGCTGTGCTCGTGTTCCTCTAAACAAAGACCACGAGAGTGTGTGATAGAGCCGAGAGTCAATAAAGCCGTCTCAAGTCTACACTGACTTCTAATAAAGAACTAATAACAAATAAATAACTTGAATATATAAATGCATCAATCAAATAACTAAGAATAAGAAACAAATGTAAAGATGAATACATGTTACCGATAAATAAACAAACAAATAAAGTGGAGAAAGAATATTTTGAATGAATATTTTAAATCAGCATTAATACTACCATGATGTATAAATATTTATTAAATCAATAATGTAATATATAAATAAATGTAGATGTTAATAAATACATGCATACTTTTAATATGTAAAATAAATGTAGCACCTACCATTTTTTAGGGGAAAAAAACATTACAAATAATATTTTGTGTTGTTTTGAAATAGTTTATATCGGCATAAATTAATAGTACAAGAAATAGTAATAATACATTTATTATTTAAAAATACATTAATATACACTTTTCATGTGTAACATAAAAAAACGATCACAGTATCACAGTAATGACGATGTAAGATGAAAATGTGTTTAATTGTCATGAAAATGCATTTATGCCCAGCTAATAAATGAATAAATATTGTTTATATTACAAAGTATGTAAACATCAGAGAGTTTGTGATATTGTGATCCATCCCAGATCTGGTTGGTTTGTTTTTTTTCTTAAATGGCTGTCCAGAAAGTGAATGGGAAGGATGGGAAAGAGGGTTTTGTTCAGGACATCTGTGCGCTTTGAGGCTGAGGTTTGTCGTGTTTGTCGTTGTGTTTCAGGGCTGTGGTTGAGAAGTATCTGCTGGAGAAGTCCCGTCTGGTGTCCAGAGAGAAGAACGAGAGGTGAATGTCGCAGCTTTGCGATGAAAGCCAGGCTGGTTTGATGTGTCCCACCGTATCTGTCGGCCCATCGCTCTCACAGCTGTTTCTGCAGCGTTAACCTCATTATTATCAGCTCAGCACGACTGCTGCAGATCATCAGCCTGCAAAACCTGAAAAACAGAGCCGTGTCGGAAGAGCCGCCTAAAAATAGAGCCGCTGCTAACTGAGCGAAGCTTTTCAATAGTGCGACGTAGGGCTGGGCGATATAGCTAAAAAATTTATCAACGATATAATGTTTCATATCGTTCGGTATCGATAATTATTGACTTTTTTATAACCTTTTTTAAAACAGAGCAATAGAACTTTTTTTTTTAATTTAACCACTGTATTTTTAAATTAACCCAATTTATTGAGACAAACAACAAATATTTTTTGTTTTAACAATCAAACACAAAATAAAAATTAAATATCTAATTTCTAATGTTTTATATGCAGATTAAATAGGTTTTAAGGAAACTTTTGGCTTGTCTCGCGAGGCCACAGGAGGGCGCAATGAGCAAAATAATGCAGCACATAATGTCAACACATGGAAATAACTGTCTATAAAAAAACGTGCATTACGTCTAAATTAACTCATAAAAATCAAATATAATTTCGTAAATTGCATAAACAATTATGAACAAAACAGCATCATGTATTTATGCATTGCTTAATACA